TTGAGGAGACACCATAATTTCCCAAGCAGGCCAAAGCTCCCCCTTCCCCTAATAGCCTCCAATAGCTATAAAAAGCCCTAACCCTAGAGCACTTCACCAAACTCAAACTTAAACTCTCTGCCCACAAGAAACAAAATTGCTCCCACAAAGTGACCACCTTCCACCATTTTCATACCATGTCGACCACTACACAACCTCTTGTCCACTCTTAAATTCAGGACCTATTACGGCTTCATCATCAACCTTGCTAAAACTCCATTTCAACCCTCCCATAAGCTTTGCAAGTTTCTAAAAGCTCTCCCCCCAATCAAAATTCTCTCTTCCCGCACTCCCTAATCTACCTCAACACCAACCAGAGCGACCCTTTGGTCTAGCATATCCTTAGGCTCTAACTCAGAGCAATTTGAAGTAAAGGGAGCTTCATTATTTGTCAATTGGGGTGAGTGCACTTGGAATGAAAATAAAGCTCTATCAGAAAACAAAATTTGCTCGCCACCAAGATCATAAAAAATCTTTCACTAGTAAGGTGATGAGTATCATTAAAAAATGAAGCAGAGGTTGGACATCTCAAACTTTATGTCTGTGCCCAATAGAACTTTGTTTCACGCATAACACACCAAAATATTGCATGCTAGAAATTTCATGGCGATAGAGTAATAATTTAACATTTTAGCATTATGGAAAATCCAACACATACTATTAATGAAAAGAAAATATGAATATACACCAAAATTTTTTTGGGAAAACATCATGGCAAGGGACATATTAACGGTGCCTAACCTAGTTAAAGTAGTCAATTATGTGATCGTAGGTACATTGATCCACTCCTCTACTGAATTAGAGAAAATGAAAATACAAAGTTAATAATTATAGCTCTACAACAATAGTTCATCAATAATAGTTATAACAAGGTTGTAATTCTTGGTGATAATAGCGATAACATGACATAAATGCATAGTTGATTGTTACAAAGATAGTATTCCACCACAAATATTTTACCTGATGGTTATAATCACATCAGCTTGTTGTAAAGGCCATGGTTGAAAGTCGTAGTTGTACTTTGTCACTTATATTATAGTTCAGAGCATCACGAGTGACTATTGGTTAAACTTTTCGTAGTGGAAGACTATAATGACAACAATTGGCCACGTAGGTTGTAGTGGGTTGTTGCAATAGCGTCATTTGGTCACAAAGACTAAGGTGCGAGGTTTTAATAATAGTAGTTGGCCGCATAGTTCATAGTAGGTAGTTGTAAGAGCGAAAATTGGCCACAAAGATTGTTGTGGAGGGTCGTAATTATAGCACTTGGGCATGTAAGCCATAGTGAGTAGCTATAATAATGTTTATTGACCATAAAGGTCGTACTTGAAATTGCATGTGAAGTGAGTCACATGGGCCTTACTTGGTCACGTAGGCTATAATACGGAGCTGCAATAACATCAAGGGACTGTGAAGTCCATAATTGGTGCTACAATAGTAGGTGTTACAACATAGACATCACTTGTTGATATGCAATGTAAGAAGAGTTCTTCAAAAGTATGAAGAAATTCATCATATTTTAATTATAGTGATTGTATACAATTGTTATGGGAATTTATCATTGAATATTTGATACAGAGTTAATCATTATCTCGTACTGAGGGTATAATGTCTCACTACTTTTAAGATGATTCCTTACACTATATACTGAGTGTGTCGTTACACTGTGTTCAAGGTGTATATTTACACCGTAATTAGGGTGGTTGTAACATGATATTCATGGTGCATCATTACATCGTATTTGGAGTGTGTCATTACACTATATTTGGGGTGCGTCGTTATTATGTATTTAGAATGCCTCGCTACACCACAGGGTTCACAGATGGCGGCGAGCAATAGGATGTCAGTGTTGGTCGATGGTGGTTTGTGGATACACAGGGCGGAAGTTGTTGTCAAATCTTCAAATCCAAAACAGCTCTCGGATTCCACTCCTTCTCCATGTTAAGGTCTTGCTCCCTTTTCACAAAGGGAGTGAAACTTTATTTATAATAACAACCTCCATAAATATTGCATGAATTCAGATCACTCCATCGAATGACCCATAGTGATTCCCTTGATGAGATGATAATTTATGGATATTTATGTGCCTTAATGAAATTCAAAATAAGAAATACTGGGCTCGTTGGATTTCTTTCATCGAGATGTTTGGTTTAACTTTAAACTTATCAAATTTGGAATCCATTTAACTTTCTAATTAACCACTAAATACCTTCAATAATGGTTTAAAAACTTGATCTGACTCAGATTGGATCAATTTTGGTGTCATTGGGCTCATTTCTTCGAGCCGGTCAGTTTGACTCTAAGTTTGTTGAAATTAGAGTTCTAGAGATTTTTTAATTTGAATTAGAATAATTCTAATCTTAAAAATATCTCGAGATTCATGATGAATGACTCACGTTGAATCATAATTTTTTTCATGATGCATCAAGCATGCTATTGTGCCTAACTTTAACTACCGGAAACCAAATGGCCCATCTAAAATCACCTCTTGAACTCTACATGTTGTGCCATCTCGGTTTTGTACACTTTTATGAACTAGCAAACACTACTTTTGTAGTTTATTACCTATCCAGAACTTTACCATCTTTGACATAACATTAATTCCGCGAATTACACTTAGATTCCCTATTCAATTGTATCCTAAGCATGATCAAGCCTCGATCCAATTTTCTCAACTTCAAGGCAATCTTTATCCTGGCATAAACTAAATGTCACTTTGAAGAGAAAAATAAATAAATAAATACTAAAAAAATAAAATCATTTTGAAATATAGTATGTATTATTTAATAAAATTACAAAACTAATTGAGTAACTTTGATTATGTGTAACAGAACTATTTCATTTTTTTTTTTATTAATTCAATGTAATCCTTATATCACAAATGATCATAAGTCTCACATCATTTCAATACATTGCCTAAATATTTATCTATGAATCTCAATTTTTTTTTTTCTTTTTTAATTGAGGTCACAAGACTAATTATAAATGATGAAATTCGTGAATGCTTATTGAGCATATCATAGTTGAGTTGGGTTGACTATCTTAATAAGTAATTTTAAATTTTTTAATGTTGAATGACAAACCCATAAAATGTTGGCTATGTTATTTCATATGGACTGATTTTAAATTTTTATCATTACCCATCACTTTGAGCAGGTTGTACCATCTTTTAGTTCTTGTTAATTTAACGATTGCTAGACATTACACAAATCTTATATGTGGAGAGATGGTTGTTTTATTTGGTTATAATAATTCTTTTGCTATCTTGTAGATTGATTATTATTAAAGCTTAAACTATCATATTAGAATGACACTCTTTTATAATGGTATTTTTTTATGTTAATCAATGGAAATTAAAATGCAAGCGTCTCACTGGTAATTGAGAATGTCACTTAGATGTGCTCTTCAGTGCAATTACTCATAACAAGCCTAATCTCTTTGGGAGATTGATCAACTCAAATTATTTACTTGATTTGACTTGAATTTATCTTGCTAATAAAACTTTTATTGATTAAATTATATAAATTTAAATAAAATTTATTTTCATTACAAAACTAAATTTTTCTTTTTCCTTTTCTTCTCTTATGAAATCCCTTTGATAAAAAGAGGACTCACAAATTATCACTATTTTCTACATCAATAAATAATTCATTTAATGATTATTTATATTGAACTGACTTTGCATATTTTGCTTTCACAAATTGTCCCTCTTTTAATTTATCTCTATTTTCTCTTTTTTTTCTTATATCTTTTAATTTCTACCATATATATATATATATATATATATATATA